TAGTCTTGTTTTGTGACTTCTGAGTATGTTTGGATTTAAGTACTTCTGTATCAAGTGGGTTAGTATCTTTTTACTGTGCCCAGAAGTGAGACCAATGAGCACGTTTCTCGAGAAGCTCTTGGCAGAGCCAGACTTAGAGATGAGATTTCTTTAGAGTGCATAAGCCTTAAGAAGTGATGATGGATAGAACTGGTTATCTCATTAATTACATTTGCTCAATACGTTTACTGTTTCATACAATTTCTCCACTGTTCACGTGTTGTATCAGGGAACAGTGCTGGTGTTTCCGTAAGGCCAGTATTCCTGACACCCTCTCGCCCCAGACTGGCAATTTTACAGGCTCTGCACAGGTAACGGGTAATCACAGAATAGCTGAGGTTGGGAGGGGCCTTGGGCTCGTGCAGTCCAGTGCAAAAGCCCACGTGAAGCTGCCGTCCCTTGTTCACACTGTTACACGCTGGTACTGATTCCACTGTAAGTGACAGTTTTTGGCAGAAGTATTAATGCTGATGTGAAGTATAATATGGGGAAGTAAAGCTGCAGTGGTGGTAAACGCCATGACGAGGCCAGTGTCTGCACGATCACCTGTAGCGTTATGTGTGCCGCTGGAGATAGGGCGATGTCACAATTACCGGATACGGAAAGTTTGCACCTGGAAAAATCAGATGGTAGAGACCTGGAGCTAGCTTCTCTGTCTTCAGCCTCATGTCAAATGAGGCAGCATAAAACTAAATCCAGTTGTCATCCCCTTTAAAGGCAGGTGGTTTAGCTCTGTGACTCCAGGAAAAGCCTGCTTTGTGCGGATCTCGGGAGCCTGGCTGAAGCTCCCACTGTCTTGCGGCAGGTGCCCTTGGCAGAGGCACAGAGTGCTGTGCAGAGATGCCGGGAGCCCTTGTCTTAGCGGCCGGTACGGTGCACAAAAGCTGTGGAGCATTTTGGCCCAGGTGAGACGTGGGATGCTGCTGTGCTCAGGGAACCGCGCAAGGCAGCCGTTGTGCCCTGTGGGGCCCAATGAGCTTTCTTCAGTTTTTACCCCACCGAGATGCGTACCAATCATAGGCTCCATTAGTTTGCATTGAAGGCCAACCATGAAAGAGCTACAGGTGCATTGGCAGGCAGAACTGGGAACGTTCTTGACAAGCAAGAAAAGCGGCCCTAAAAGGATGTTTGACAGATACAGCACAAGTGCTACCCCGGCAGGAACAGTCGGTTCCTCCAACGCAGCAGGAGGCTGTACTGGCTTGCCATACACCATTCTGCAGGGGAGCCAGGGGATGGAGTGCTGAACCCCAGTCAGCAGTGCAAGAAAGGTAAACGTTATCCTGGGAAACAGACGTGGTTTGAGTGTGCTTTGTGTGGGGGTTGGTTTTGTTTAAAGAACTCTAGCAGGTACTTTATGGAAAATTACAACCCCATCTGCTCGCTGCAGGTGCAGTTGTGTGTCAGTTTTGGGCACTGTGTTTTACTAGAAAGAGGAGCTGGTTGGAAAGAGACTGGAGAAGAAAGCCCCATCAGAAAGCATACGCTGTGGTGACAGGTTGATAGAAAGGTTAGCAAATAGCCTGTGGGGCTTCAGGCTTCCTAGTGCAGTACCAAAGTGCACCGTTCACATGCAGGAAAAGTGTGCTATGCCCTGGGCGTGCGACCTGTGAGAGGAAATCGCCTCCTCCTGTTTTTCTCCTGATCTGTGTCAGCATTGAGCCTACACATAGTGGCAGCTGCTGTAGTGACAATAACTTGTAAGGATTTATATGGAAGAGAAGCTTATCTGGGCATCCTGCCTCCACTAACAGTCATACTCACACAAGCTCTTTAAATTATGCTCTTAATAAACGTAGTTCAAAGCAGTTTACTGCTTTCCGAGAAGCATTTTAATGTGTGTAAGTGTATATACATACATATATAAATAAAATGAGGTCTAAATCAGCGTCCTGTAGGAGGTGATAGTGCTTGCACCCCATGTTTTAACCTTGCTTTGGCTGCTGGCCGTGGTCAATAGTTTCAGACCTATTTTCTGCCCTGTGTTCCACTTCTACTGAACTTCGTTCAATCATTTTTCTCCTTTGAACCTCAACAACTTCAAAACTTGGGCCACAGCTTTCCATGGGGAATTTCAGGTCCAGAAGGGACTGGACAGATTTTTAAAAACTAGTAATGACAGATTATGTTCTTGCAGTTTACCTCGATACTCTGCAGTGACATGCAGAAGTTCAACATGAGCCGGCAATGTGCGCTGGCAGCCCAGAAAGCCAACCGTATCTTGGGCTGTATCAAAAGGAGCGTGGCCAGCAGGTTGAGGGAAGTGATTCTGCCCCTCTACTCAGCTCTCATGAGACCCCACCTGGAATACTGTGTTCAGCTCTGGAGTCCCCAACACAAGAAGGACATGGAGCTACTGGAACGAGTCCAGAGGAGGGCCACGAAGATGATCCGAGGGCTGGAGCACCTCTGCTATGAAGACAGGCTGAGAGAGTTGGGGCTGTTCAGCCTGGAGAAGAGAAGGCTCTGGGGTGATCTTATAGCAGCTTTCCAGTACCTAAAGGGGGCCTACAGGAAAGCTGGAGAGGGATTTTTTTACAAGGGTGTGTAGTGATACGACAAGGGGCAATTTTTTTACAATGAAAGAGGGCAGATTTAGGTTAGATATAAGAAAGAAATTTTTCACTCAGAGGGTGGTGAGGCACTGGAACAGGTTGCCCAGAGAAGTTGTGGATGCCCCATCCCTGGCAGTGTTCAAGGCCAGGTTGGACGAGGCTTTGGGCAACCTGGTGTAGTGGAGGGTTTCCCTGCCCATGGCAGGGGCCCTTGGAACTAGATGATCTTTAAGGTCCCTTCCAACCCTAACCATTCTATGATTCTATTCTATGATTCTATGACATAGCAAGGCCTAGAGATGCACAGTAATACTGGTAAATACACAAAATTAAAAACACCACAAAGTGAAAAAGAGTAAGAGAGAAATTTATTTTTAATAAGAATATCAATAACTTCATTTACACAAACTAAGCTGACCATTAATATCTTCTTTAGTTAAATAAATCCACATTTATGCACAAAGCCACATAAAATAAGCTAGCAAACTGTCTCAAGAAAACTGTACTAAAAAAAACTAATTAGATTTGCTTCCATGCTAAAAATCACACTAAAGAGGCATTTGATATAAATGTCTAAAGAACTTAAGTCCAGTAGAACACTATGAAAGGACTTCCAAGTTTGTAAAAACTATAACAAAAGCCACACAGGAAAAAAATCACTTAAAGCCAAGATTCCTCACATGATTTTAAGCCATCTGTAATGTCAAACTCACTAACGCTGATTTGAAGCTTTGGCTTATGCTCAAGAAAAGCATCCATTTTGAAAGAAGCCAGACTGTTTTCCATCTTGTTTATACTTTATTGATAAAGTTGTGCTTGTCTCAGTCTGGTGAACTGAATAATGCAACATGCAGACTGACACGTGCTCACGAGACAGCAAGAGAGTGTCACAAGTGCACGCTGCTCTTTTCTTAGGAAGAAAATGTTAAAAGGATGCAAGAAAACATGCTGAAGCAAAGCTGAGGGATGATTAGCTCTTGGTGCTGAAGCAGATACAATGCGGCTGGTGGAATTGTGTCCTGGCATGTAGAATTTGACACCAAAAGTGAAGAACCTGCTCCTCCTGTGCATTGTAGGAGAAGGGGGTTTGCGCCAGCAGCTCTGATTTGCAGACTGAAGGCGGTGGGCTCTAACCTGTGGCACACCTTTAGCCAATTGTTGGGTCCGTATTCTTTCACTTAAGGCTGTTATCGTGACTGAGGCTCATAAATACACCCTCCCTTATTTTTGAGGGTGATCACTCTGGGGTGATCTCATAGCAGCCTTCCAGTACTTGAAGGGGGCCTACAGGAAAGCTGGAGAGGGATTTTTTACAAGGGCGTGTAGTGATAGGACAAGGGGCAATGGCTTTAAACTGAAAGAGGGGAGATTTACATTAGATATGAGGAAGAAATTTTTCACTCAGAGGGTGGTGAGGCACTGGAACAGGTTGCCCAGAGAAGCTGTGGATGCCCCATCCCTGGAAGCATTCAAGGCCAGGATGGATGAGGCTTTGGGCAACCTGGTGTAGTGAAGGGTTTTCCCTGCCCATGGCAGGGGAGTTGGAACTAGATGATCTTTGAGGTCCCTTCCAACCCTAACCATTCTATGATTCTATTCTATGATTCTATGTGGAGGCAAAATTATTAGAAGTTCCCTCCGCTCCACTCCCCTTTGTAATTAACTCATACTATCAAGTCTTATCAAACCACAGAGAGCAAGCAATGGAACATATTTTTAAACTGAAGCTTTTCCTGCAGCAATGATCACCTTAACTCAGCAGCTGTGATCAGTTCCATTTCTATGTGAATAACTGGGTGTCTCTTCCCGTCCTGCTTAACTCTGCTGACTAATAGGTGGAGGGTAATACCAGACTGTACCAGTGAAGGAGAAAAAACTTTTTGTGACAATAAGGGATTTAATTCCATCAAGAAATAGATGATGGTCAGACACTCCTGAGCAAAGGGCACCTGGTAGGGCTGGCAGACAGCTGGTATATGGACTATTGCTGGCAGTAGAAATCTTTGCACAGCTCTAAGTCCATCTGTCTGATGTGGCACTGAAAGGGGAGTTGGAAACTGACAGATAGAAAACAGTAAACTAAAAGAAGTAGGAAATAGAGATTGGGAGATTGTTGGAAGGAAGTTATGTGAAAATGAAAACTATTTTGGTCACTTAACATAGAATTTAGAGCATTATAAATCAATGACTCGTGTGGCTTGTGTTGTACAACGTACCTCATGATAAAACAGCCCATCTGAAATATAAATAGAGAGAGGAAATGTTTCTCCAGCACAAGGCCAGGGAGGCAATCTTCGAAAGCTGACAAAACCTCGTTGCACAAGTCGAGTTGAGAGGGAGGTCTGAAAATGACTGGCTGGGCAAGTCTCTGAAGAGAGGCATGTGAGGCTCAGGAGGACCTGCGGTCTAACACTGAAGCTCTTCTTCACTCTCAGGGAGTCGGGTGCCAGCAAGAGAGCTCTGAGCACTGGCGTGGGCTGTAGAGCTGAGAACTTCTTCAAAACTGCCCCCTGTGTGGCTTGTCCCACCAACCTTGGTCTGAAACAAGGCAAACAAAGAGAACAGCATGTTCCTCTGGTCACACTGTAGCAAGTCCTGTTTGCATTCCACCCATGGCCGTGGAGGGCTGGGAACTGTTCAAAGCAGGCACAGAACACGTGGGGCTGGGTTTTTCTTAGAACAAAAGCAATAGAAACAGTCAAATAAAGCAACCGCTCTCCTCCCACAATTTCTATACTTCTAGGCTGCAATCATAAAATCTGCCAGTGGCATTTATCTTCTGCTTAAAGGAACCAGCCCCTAAGTAGACCCCAGGCAGGATCCTGAATCCTACCAGTAAACTTAGTGCATTTGTTTTTTAACATGAGCAGCTTACACTGCTTTCACTGTTTTCCAGTTCTATACAGGCTGAGTAAGAGATGGATATTAAAATGAACTGGTTCATTTGCTGAGTAAAGTGGCCCATCTGCCAGCAATGGTAACACAGCTGCTCTCAAAATACATAAACAGTACTGGGATTTTGGACAGTAGAAGAAATATAGAAGGAAAGAACAAAACCAGCAACTTGTCCCCTAACTGAAACCAGGACACTCCCTTTAGGTACTTGCAGCCACCTAGACACTGATATATAAAACTGCCAGTAGCATTTTCCTGGGAGGAACGGGGAGGAAGAGATACCAAATTCCATTAATGAAACATGACAATGTGCTCCCAAGTAATCTACTTTCAAAATGCTTCAGTTTGCTGAATTTGTAAATGTAAGTATTAAAAATAAAAAGCATTATGACTAAATATCTGAAGTAGAATTTTCCTAACAAAGACGGAGGTTTATCTAAAGATTCAGAAATGATCGAGACTAAGTGATGAAGAGACAAAGCTGCATTGACTGGGTTGTCCTGGTAAGTGAACACTCATTTGTGGTTTGGCTCACCGATATGCCTGCTCGAAGTTCATTACCAAGCCTGAAAATAGAGCAAAACTTTTTGCACCATCCTAGAACTGCAGCAGGACTTAAAGACAAGCTGGCATTCTTCCAGCCTGTCAGCTACTGAATGCTTAGGAAGATTATTTTAATTAAATGAACTTTGTGTCCTAAGTTTCCAAAGGGTTAATCCTATGTAATCCTTTGTTTCATCAGCAAGCACAGGAGCTTGACTAGCTTGAAAGTTCAATAAAAGAAGGTAGTAGTAGGCTTGCTATTCGCTCCAACAGTTTGAGTCAGAGTTACTAAAAGTTCCCATCTCAAGAGGTAAAAATCTGTATCCAGTCTAGTGGGCTGTGCTGACTCTGAGAAAGTATCGGTCCATCACAGATTTTTGCAAAGAGCAATGCAAAATATATATATTGTTAAATGTTGGTTGGCCCAAAACTTGCCCTGAAAAGGCAGCCACTGTCTAGCAAAACTACTATTAAGTTTTAATGGCAAAATTCTCAAAAGAACATTGATTCAGACTGATGAAAGTGATTGTGAAAGTAGACTATTCCTGCGCTTTTTCAAATGACTCAGATGAGGCGTGTCTGAATTTGGACACCTCAAAATCAGAAACATTAATGCAGATTTGCTTTTCTGCCTACTCTTCCATCTGAAAACAAGAATGATGTAAGTCACTTTACTGAATGCCTCCGGCCAATACCCCAGTGTTTACAGCAAACATTTAATTCATCAGTGTTCTAGTTTTCAGGAAGTTGAAGAGAGCTGGGCACCCAGGTCTTGTTGTTTTCCAGGGGAAGCTGAACTAATACACTCTTCTAAGAAAGCTGCAAGTCCAAACTCAAGAGCAAATAACATCTAATTTGAAATTTGACTTTCAAATGTATGAAATCTGAACATCCATTTTGGCCAACTGCAGAACATTGTAGGACCACTGATGATCTGTAACTAATATGTGGAGGCAGGGGGGAGCGGAGGGGAAGATGATAACGCTACTGCTGTTCTTTTGTCAAAAACCTCTTTGGGAAGTTCTCCACTTTTTCAGATCACAACAGGATCCTAGAATTGAAGGGACAGTCTATGATCACCCCCTCACTACATTCTTCCTAATCTTGCAAGCCTTGGAACAGAGGCAGGGAAAAGTGCTTAGACATTCCCAGTTGTCCCCAACCTATGTGAGTGACACCCTAGGTCCATGACTTCAGCTTCCTTTCTCCATTTGCACAAAGAAATGAAAGAAAGAAAGAGAATACAGACAGAAAGTATTTCAGAAAATGTTAGTGGGTTTGCCAATAAAGCTGGACAATGAAGGTTTCACGGGATGTCTAAGATGACTTCAGACTCAAGGCTTTTTCATTTTGTCCTGCTTAACTAAAATTCCTTAAAAGTTGATCTAAGAGCACCCTGAAGACATGCTAGGCTAAGAGCTGGCACGACAAATAGTCTCCTCTAGAAGAATGCCTTTGCTTAATCAGCAAAATAAGATCAGGCTCCTCAATCAGATCACTGTGAAAAGAAACAGTCTTCAGAGCTATGCAGTTTGAATTAACTTTTTCTCTTTCTGAATGAAACACTGTGGTGACTGAAAACAGACACCCCTCCCCTGATGCAGAAAGGACATCACTCACATTTACCCTCTACCCCTCAAAGCAAGGCAAAAGGCTTAAGCTGTCCCTATCACAGGCTGGCCTAAGCATAGGAGGAATGGATTTGTGGAGTCCAGAGTAATCTAGAAGCAAATTTGGGAGCTAGAAGTACTACTGAGAGCCCTCAGAGTAGGTTTAGTGACTAAATAACTAAATGGGTACAAAAAGTGCTGCACTTCTCCAATGTAGTTTCTTCTAACTTGTGAGTGGTGAAAAAAGAAAAAAAAAAAGTCCACTTCAGACCTCAAGTGTTCCAATGAGCTGCATCTCTTATCTAAATAGGTAGAAGTAATAAGAATATAAAGAGATAAGCATTACACTTGACTGCAGCAGACGGGAATTCAGACCTTCCAAGCTGATGCACCCCACTGCATGACTGATTTCTCCTACAGTGAGGTTGAGTATAGAAAGCATTTGCAGCTAAGGTGAAAAGAATGAACAGGAAGGTGTAAGAAGCACTGAGCTGGGGCTCTGGAGGTCTGTGTTTTGTTCTAGCTCCTTGGATGCTCCCAGTATTGGCTGGGATGCAGCCTCCCACCTGTGAAACTGCAATGATGGTTCCTTCTCTGATGTGATGCAATGGAGATGACATTATCCTACACTATCATGACTTAAAGTTGTCAGAACAGCCTACCACTAATTAAAAGTGAACATTCAAAAGGTGAAAATGATAGAGCAACTCTGCATTTTTTGATGGACATGCTTATTTAGAATCAAAAATAAATCAAGCTCTCTGCTGCTTACTTCCCTCAGGCACTGACTGGAAAAATTTATCTGCTGTATGATTTCACAGTGGCATGGAAAAGACAGACCTTCCCTGTGTACCTGCTACTCCAGTTCTAGCTGTAATTTGCATTTTCTGTAACAAGGAATGTCCTTCTGTCCCAAGTGGAAGGCCATTTTCTTGCCTTTTTAATGCTTTACAAGTTGCAATGCCCTTTGACATTAATCTAGTATTTTCAATTCCCCCTAAAATGAGGGGTGATCAATTTGGCCCTTGTCCACTGACAAGACTGTACTTGGCATGTGCTGGAATCTTTTTGCAGCAAAGTAAAATGACATTTTATGAGCACACTTGACTTTATCTGATAAGTAAGAACCATTAGGACACAAGCTCTTTTGTTCCCCCCTTGAATGTGCCTTACCCTGCAGCAAAGATTAGCCCACTGCAAATTTGCCATGGTCTATCCTGCTGTATAAGAGCCTTAACAAGCGCCATTAGTGATAACTGGTAGCTTTGCCATCAGATCTTCCTGTCTTACAGCAAATATGTCAATATAGTTTTGACATTTTAAATCCAGAAAAAAACATTGAAATTTGAGAGGAAATACACCTGCATTAAAGAAAGACGAGTTCAGTGCTAAGAGCCACACACGTAGTGTGAATCACAACTGAGTAAGGAGCGCTTGGTGAGTACATCTCCAGTATTGAAAGGAGTGTAGCCCAGGGATGGAAGCGCAGTCTGCAAGGCACACAGCTGCATCTGTCTGGCAGGGCACCCCACAAAACTCATGAGGCCACACTGCTTTCAAATTCTGACCTTCGATCTGCACATGGCTCTGCCTTGCACAGCATAATCAACCATGGTCACACCTTACGAGGTGCCTCTGCTTACCATCTCAGTATGGCCATATTTTTGGCATTTCTGAGACCATTTGTTTACTGTGGCAGACAACAGAAGTAATTTCTTAGCAACAAAGCACAGACTGTTTGTCTGCGTATTGCCTTCATTTTCTGTTAGTGCTCTTGCAGTTCCATGAAATTCTTGATGGAACAGTAAATTCAATTGGTCTCCTGTACAAATAATAAGGACAACTACGTTGTGACACTAACACACACACCCATGTAACTCTGTCTCTGACCTTTACCTTAAGGCTTGTGACAGTGGTCTCAACCTTCTCTTCAAACGATTTGAAAGTTGGAGAATTCCTAGGAGAAAAAGAAAATTAATAGAAAGAAGAACAGTCAGTTGCAGACAGAATGGGGTAACTCCAGAACTTAATCTGTTTTTACCAGGCAATAATGGAGGCCGAATGGCCCGAATGGAGGCTGGCTGGCAGCACAGGGCTATAGACTGACACGGTATGAACAGCCACTTGTGCTCTGTCAGTCAAATCCAATTACAGTAATCAGATGAGTATTTTTTAGGTACAAATTTGCAAAAGCAGAACCTGCCTAGTAATTGAAACCAAGTAGTGACTGGCCCACCTACCCTCTGATACACTCATCATGTTGTCAGAAAAAACAACCAGAGAACACTGGCTGTAGTGCTGCGTTTCTATGGTTTTATCCATTTGTGTTGTGGCTGTAATGAAATTAACGTGGGTTTTTTTTCAGCCGATGAGCAAGTTCATAATCTACATAATTAAAAAGACAACAGTTTAACGTCCTGAGGCTAGCATGAAGGAGATTAGAACTACATAGGAAGGAGGTCCCAAATGCCTTTGAGGAATCCTGACCCCCCCACTCCTTGATTCTGTGACTGCTGTATCCTGCTGCTTTCAAAGACAAAGACTTTAGGGACACTTGTTCCAAGGGTGCCCCTCTGACAAAGCTAAACTTTTCTGTCCCTTCCATTCCCTGTAGAACAGAACACAACATTGTTTTAGAGAAAACTGAGTTGAACATATCTTAACACAATAGGTTAAAAAAAAAAAAGGCAACAGTTGTGATTTTCCTTCTTAAAGCAAATCACGTATTTGGTTTGCTGGCTTGCCTAACCACCTTGTTCTTTTTCTTGCTTCAAAACTTGAAACATAGCCCCTCTCTCATTTTAAATGCATTTGATTTTTTACATTTCTTCCTGCAAACAGAACATACTGGCCACAACTAATATCTGCCACGTAATATTATGACTGTAATGCATATGCTGTTTTACAATGAGAGTTTGGATCCCCACAGAGATCTGTACTAGAGTTATCCCTTCAGTCACTTAGATGGATGTCTCTTCTCCTCTTTTTGCAGCAGCTTCCCCACTGCTGATAATCCGTCCCATGTAGGAAGACATGCTAGAAGCAGGCAAGCTGGAGTGAGCAGGAAAGCTTGCCTCCTCCTCCAGCAGTTCAGCCAGCACAAAGAACTTGGGTAAATCTACAGTGAGTAAAGGGGACCTTCCTGGTTCTCTGCTCCTTGCTTGACAACCGAGAGCTCAATTATAGCACAATTTATGCAAAGACTCTGAAGCTCCGAAACTGTTGTCCAGCAGGGTTCCTCTTGCACTTTACCTCTTGTTTCTTTACCATATGAAACAAAAAGGTGATGGGATCTCCCTAAGTGCAGTGCAGTATAATGAAGCAATTATACTGAATCAAGTGTTTAGTTCTTCAGCTTTTTTTCACCTGTGTATTGTGATATATCCAGAAAGAGATTATAGAAACTACCACCACTGACAGCGCAGGGTACCTCCTAACAACATGGCCAACAAGATGTACTAAACCCACTACCTCCCCATTTGTTCCTACATGAAATAAATCATAACAGTGACCCTCCAGACCACAACGGAGGGTACCCTCACAGTGGAAGAATGAGGCAGAACCACTTTACCCTGGCAGATGCCCATGTCTTTGTGCCAGCCAAGGGGAAAGGCAAAGATGAGCAGCAGCCTGTGCCTCATTCTGCAGAGCGATGAAGTTAATGGCTGCTAAAACTTTAATGTTCCAGTTCATCCTCTTTGCATATTATGGGCACTTACCAAGAGCATGATGATAGTCTCTATTTCTGCAAATACATTTACATCATATTCCTTGTCAGGCTAAGTCAAACTGACCCTAATTTAAGGAAGGGCAAAGTGATGCCAGTTGGAAAAATAACGATTTTAGTTTCTGTAAAAATAGGTGACAAACTTTTCATAGGGCGAGAAGGGTCAAAAGGAGAGAGAAATTGAGTTTTATGACTTACATTTGACCCATAGGTCACATGGGGGAATGCTTGCCTTAAACCACCTGCTGACATTCAATGAGTTAGTATCCATCATACAGTTACATTTGTTTTCCCCAGATGCTTGGGAGGGAGTGGCGATATTCATATATATTTAGAGGCTGAGGGGGGAAAAAAGAAAGCTGGATCCTAATTTTATTGACAACAGTCGGAGCTTTACTTGAACAGACATCAATATTTGCCTGCAGTCAAGTAAAGTATGATTATAGCCATTAAAATATGAAAGCACTTCTATAAAATCCCTCCATAGGAGCATGATCCAAAGCCTGCTGGCGTGAAAGCATCTCTGACGTTAATGGGCTTTGGATGATGTTCTAGAGAGAGCAAAACAACTGAATTTCAGATTCAGTAATACAAACCTAATAACAATCAACTACCCAAATACATCTCAGAACTGCTTTGTTTACTCAAAGGCAAGAGATTAAACAGTTAATACAATTAAAAGGAAAAAAAACACAGATGGTCTATCCTGCAGCCCTTATCTACATGAACAGCCTTAATTGATTGCAGTGGGACTAGTTTCCCAACTAAAAACTGCAGAATCAGGATCAAAATACACAAATCCCCCCTCATTACACTGTTGAACATCATCATAGCAAATACAATATGGGTAGCATATTACCTCATCGCAGGCATGCTTATGGAATGGCGAATAGAGTAACTGCGGGATGAAAGCAAAAAAAAAGGAGGAAAAAACTGTAAAATCCAGTTTGCAACATAACATATCATTATTTTTTTTAATTGCTTAAAAAAAAAATACATATATTTTCAAGAGTGCTGGTACTCTCCCTCTCCTGATGGCAACAGCTTGCCATCAACTTCAAACTCACCTCTGAATTCCAGCTCACTTTCAACACTGGAGACCTTATCACCATATTCTCACGTCAATTGATCAGCAATTTAATAGGGCTCAAAAGAAATATGCAAAACAGTTCCTGGCAACATCCATTTAAATGACACAGACCTCTGCTATCTACAGAGACATGCAACGTGTGGCAAAGCAAGAGAGAGCTACCTCTGTGTTCCGCAGTGGCAGACAATAAGCTGTGTTGGGTGAGTACAACACACCTCAGGTTTGTGAACATAAGCAGAGCTGGTTCAAGGCAGAACCAGCAAGGCCCCATCTCTCTAGGACATTTCACCTCCTCCTTCACACCTCGACATCACCAAGGGTAGACAGATGTTTTCCATAGCTCTCATCCAGCTCTCCCTGCCACGTTTCCCTCCTCAGACTTCCCAGCAGCAAGAGTATCAGAAGGCTGGCAAATAGAGGATGGAGCTTCTGTATCCCTCAAAGATGCCCAAATCATCTTGCACACCTTTAACCTCACAGATAGCCACCCATTCTAACTGCTTGACTTACATTAGCCACATTCTCCCACCTGAGCCACCAAAGCCAACACTGCTATGGTAGCATCACCTATTCCCTACTGCTAGGAAGCATCAAGCCTGTTCTGAATATGAATCTTTATTTGAAGTGTAAGAACTGTCCATAAGTACTTTTACATTTGAACATTTTAAATTGTGCACTGCAAGGGTACGTATTGTTTGAAAAAATTCATGCATGGCTACTTTCCGTGGTGACTGACAGCTGCAGTCTGGTCTGATTGAGAACAGTGAGAGCTTTACTTAAGGGACATTAACATTTGGCTGCAATCAAGCAAAGCATGATTATAGCATTAAAAAATGAAAGCTCTCATATAAACAGCACATGTGTTTGTTCTAAACTATACAAATTCAGAGCAGCACTGTGTCCATATACACCACAAAAAGATTTTTTTTTTCCCCCGGATTAAAGATTCAGAAATGGGGGAGGTGGTGTGTGTGGAAAGAGCTGTTTGGCAAGCAGGTGGGACAGAGAAATTTCATACAAACTGTTTGCTGTTCTGTATATTTTAAGGCTTCTGCTAAGCTCAGATAGAACTGACAGCAGACAATGCAAATGTTTCATGTTCAATTTTTCACATCATTTTTAAGACAAAAGATTAGCCCAAACATTTCACAAGTGCAGCAAATCTTTAACAATCCTAGTTAAATAAAACAAGCATATTTGCCATTTTAGTCTTGTAACATATGACAAATAGGCAAAAATAAGAATTTGGAAGTATTTCAGCATAGGCTGCTCCTCTTACAACAAAACATTCCAAATATGAAGGTCTAAGTAAGATTGCATTGTGCCAAATTAAATTCACACAGCTGAGAGATGGCATGTGACAGACAATCTGAATACAAAGTGCACATTTCACTGAGTTCATGTTTTTATTTCTTTAAAGAGGTAAGGATGCAAGCTATAGGAACAGTGACAACATCTACTAGTAGCCTAAAAAATTAAGCTTTTTTAAAAACACACACGTCTGTGACAGTGATCAGTGCAGAGGCAGAGAACAGAGATCCTTCCTGACAAAGGTTGCTAAACATTACATTTTGGTTACATGTCAGAGTGAGAAAGGAAGGTCAATCAATGCCCCATTTTGAAGCTTTCTCAGTGAAGTAAGAGTCCACATTAGCTAGTAAGAGTCCACTTAAGTAGACAGAAAAATTGTTCTTGAGCTGTCCTGTGCAGTGGCAATGCTGCAAGGCCAGAGGGACTGTGGGGAATTTGGGGCTGTTCAGTCCCTCTGCTGGGCGAACTGACATAAAGCCAGACCGCTTACAGAATCTTTCAGCACACATAAAATTCTTTTATAATTCATCATATATTAAAGTGCTTTACGGCATCAATAAATCCAAGCTTTAAATATAAAGAACCCTTTTAATCGTGTTAAGAACTTGGCCTACCATTGGAAATTTCCCCAGGACTCAAGACTTTTAAAAAGAGTCACTATGTATATTTCATGACTAATATACGTTTGCTTTATTGAATAGGAGGTAATTAAATTCTTTATACAATCTTTATAAAACTCTGCAGGCTGAACAGAAATTTTACTGAACGTTTGCTGTTTATGTTCCAGCCTCTGACAGAAAAAGATGGTTGAGAGAATGGAATTACAAATAAATAGGTTTTCCCAAGAGCAACATCTTTTGAATGCATTAGTTATTTGAATTTGAGATTAAGCTACTCAAGAGCAAGGCAAATACTTAGTCCAGTCCTTTCCTCATTATTCTTGCCATGCTGTAAAAATGAGGCATTACAGTTTAAGTAGCATATGTTTTTATCATATATAACAATGCTGAAAGGAAAGAGGTTACTGCATTACATTCCATAAAACAAATCCTGTCAAACACAGAGACAGTATTCAGGGAGAGTAATGCGTCTTACCCAATTGAATGCGATCTGTGGTGGATGCATGAGGAAAGAAAAGCAAGAGTTAAAAGTATTACAAAAACATAACAAAATATACATATATATCTGTAGCATGTCGAACTGCCTGAGGAGAAAAATACAATCATTTGCATTCAAATCTGGATGCTGGAATTCACACTGGAATGTGGATCTGTTGAGATTCCTTCAAAGGAAAAATTTTCACACACTTCTTCGCTCGCAGTCACCTATTCTGTGTGCAAAGAAGAATGGAAGTTTTGTCTGTGTGTCCTCTTCTTTAGATCAGGTTTAAACAACGCTAACTGGTTTCCCTTCCAAAATCCTACCTTAACCTCATTAAAGAATAGGTGAACTGGAATTGTATATCTACATCAGCAGTGAATGTCATTTTTTCCCTCTGGATTTCTTAATCATCCCTCAGTTGAGAACAATATGCAGAAAATAAGGGGCTTTCAATTCCTAAACCGACATTTTCTAAAATACTTCTTCCTTGTTGAAAACAATACTTGAAACACTTTGACACTGTTTGCCAGCTCACAAGAAACTTAATTAAGGCAGCAGAACTGGGAGAGGCACACTGAAATACAATATTCAAAGGATGTCATTAGGGTTCCAAAGTCGAGAAATGATGAGGCAGACAGCCTCTCCTTCATCTGTGTGTTACTGATGCAGTCTTTAATTACAGACCACTTCAAGGGAGCACCTGTCTCATGCAGTGAGCCAGATAGATGGTGCATGCTTAATGAACATCACTTCAATACTTATTTTTCGTATCCTTTTTCAACGCGTGGTGCAATGCATTATTTACTGCACAAGATGCAAACCTTGCTCTGAAGAAAAGCATTGATTTCTTCAGGGCTTATTTACAGGGCCCATCATCACGTATATCGGTGCTTCTCAGACATTCATGGATTTCTCTTCACAACACATTTCTGCTTAAACCAGTTTAAGTAATTCTGTTGCCATACGTAGCCTCCTTTTACTACCTGCTGACTCCCAGTAACATTCACCCCCTTCTCCACGTGAATGCAGATACTTGTACCGCCACACGACAAGGAAATCTGTGTTACCGCAGAGCTCTAAAAATCTGCACAAATGAAGGGGTGTTAGCAGAAATGAGTGAAAACAACTGCTTCACCCATCAACAAAAGAAATGCTTTTGAAATTACACTCTGAAGCAAGACATTACTATTTCCTTTATAGGGGATATCAGAGACACAGATGTTTAAGAATGGTAGTTTTGGCTATGACAGCTACAATATTTCAAGGAATTCATCTCTCAATGATGATGAGTTTTAAGTGCTCAGAACACCCCTAGATCACAGAAATCTTGGAACTGCACAGCAAATGGCTGTACAAAAACTCCACCACCACAAAAAAAAACCCAAAGAAAAAACACCACGAAAAGGCAGAACAATAAAGGCATAGCAAAAATCAACTCCCACAGCACTAAAGCAATTATACCTGAGTCACCTCCAACAGATATTGGCTTAACCTGCTTCTAAAAACCTCCAATACAGAGATTTTGGAAATAGCCTGTGCCTCTGTTCAGCTTTATAGCTGAACACTTTTTCTGACCTCTCACATTAACTTACTACATCCCCCTCTCCTTTCATTATTCACCCACATTTGTCTTACCCAAAAGCCAACTTGTTCAAACACTCTCATTGGCTGTATTTTCTGAAGATGATTTTTTTGTTATTTTCTCTCCTCTCCTTCCAGTTCATCTGCACATCCTTCCAAGGGCAGTGCCCTTGCATGGGCCCAAATACTCCAGCGGAGCCCTCATCAGAGCTGAGCCAAGCAACTCTCTCCCGAATCTTACAGACCACACTCCTGTCATACTTGCTGGAATTAAGTTTGTATCAGCAGTGACAGCATGAGAGCATTGACTCCTGCTGCCTTTAAGCCACTAGCCCAGCATCTGTTGGGCCCTTATCTGCAAAGCTGGCTGGTCAATGCACCCTATCTCTGCTTTTGAATTTTTTCCATCTGTCAATAGAGGATCTAACACTTTCCTACACTGAGTTTTATTTTATCATGTAAAATAATTTTGAATTCTACTCCTGCTGTCTGAAGTTCTTGTATTGCCTCCCACTGCAGTCATCTGCGGACTTCAAGTGTACACATGATGCCATCATCTAAACCAGTAATGAAAATGCTGAAGAGTAACAGACTCAGGACAGATGCCTGCAAAATCCTGCATTATGTTGAGCTACTGAGACCCATTCTTTGAACATAATTTTCAGCTCCCTATGCACTCTTCCTCCTAAAGCAGCAATACCTAAACTGTATTTCTCTAGTTCTGTGAAAACAGTATGGACAGCCCTACCAAAGTCAAGCTCTATCACATCTATCTGACTCCCCTCCGTCCTCTATGACAGGTGCTGTCAGTTCAACATACAAACACTTTCATGATTTTGCCATCATTCTAACTTCTAGATGCTTCAGAAATAATAGATAAATGTGTTCCCCCAGTATCTGCTTTGCATTTCCCAGAACTTTCCTTGCCCCTTTCCAGAGGGATGACCTTTGCCTTCCTCCACCCCTCTGGGACCTCATGTGCCTTCTGCCCAGATTTCTGTCATCTCTGTGAGGCACATTCAACTGCCACAGTCATGCCCCCAAGCTCTCCCTTCCTGCAGTCTTCTTTCCTTTTTCACATGTGCCTTCCGACTCCTGGACTGCTGGATAAAGATCCAAGCTTTACCAGTAATGCAAAGGAGCAAAGGATAGAGACCCTCAACCCTATATCACATCTGTGTTCCACGTGGCAAAAGACATACTGAAACGTTAGTGTAACCTCTGCTTCTGAGGTCTGAGCCCATGCCACTGCCCTTGAGTGACCTGAGGCTCCCCTCTGCCTTCCTTCTCCACACCAGAAAGTGTTAAAAGAGACAAGATGAGCTGGGGGTGGAGGGGCAACAAAAATCCTGATGGCATATCATTAATCACAAGAGCTATTAACGAAGAATCTATTATCTTAGCTATACTACTAGTGTCTGATTTGTATCCCAAAGCAAAAGTATGTGTATACTGGTTTTATGTGCATTTCTGGTATTTCAATTGACACGGTAATTTTAAATAGAATGCATTACAACTGTAAAGAGACCTTACAAGCACTAATAATACAAAATTTAGAAGATGTAAAATGCTAATGATTATTCATGCACAAAATAAGTTAAGAGAGTTGCAAGACTGGGAAGCTGGGGTGGGGATGAAAGAGAAGCACAGCAGCTTCATCAAAAGCACTTTGTCCCCAAAGGATGGCTTCTCTGTTCCCTGGGATACACAGAATTCTGTCATTTTTCTTTCTTGTAGATTTCATCTTTTTGAATTCTAACACAGCAAAATAGCACATCCGGGGAGTCTATCTGGTCTGTTGCTGATGTATGATATTTTAGTATATTTAGAGATAATACAAGGTGAAATATCTTTCAGGTTAGTAACTAAGACCCTGCATCTTCAGAACAGAGATGTATGTGTTTCATGTGGTGCTCTGTGCAATTGACATAGCAGGCAACCTGGAAAACATAATTTTGTTTCACAAATCATAGAACCCTAGAATCATCATTTAGTTTGGAAAAGACCTTTAAGATCATTGAGTCCAACCATAAACCCAACACTGCCAAGTCCACCACTAAACCATGTCCCTAAGTGTCACATATACACGTCTTTTAAACACCTCCAGGATGGTAAGAAGGAAGGCTTCAAGTCAGGCTGACTACAAGCCCTTTCAAAACTACCATCGCCACAGGCAGCAGGTAAAGGTCAAACACACCAGACTGCTGAACATACTGGGAATTATGCTGATCATCTGGATTTTAGAAATCAGTTTCAAGTGCCTGCTTGGAATGAAAGCAGAACAGGGATTTGGTTCTGGATGCCATTGATGACTATCAGCCTTAATGCCTCAGCAAGAGAATTAAGCCAGAGTCTGATGTGTGTTTAAACCAGCATTATGGGAGGGGGCGGTGATAATCCATATACTAGATCACTGAAATAAAATTATTTGGATTAGCAAAAAAGCAAACAATGAAACAACAAATGCATGCCTCCTTACAGCTTGTTCCCTCAAACACGGCTGGCACTGGAGGTGGAGAGGGGAAGATTATTAAAACCAGGTCATTGAAGTGATAAGGTTTACAGTGTGACCCCACACAGAACTGCACCTTCCCAAGCTGAGGCAAGACCTCAGGCCAGCTCTGCGCCTGAGGGAAGCATA